ACATGGTTAAACTCCATCTCTACCAAAAACACAAAAATTACCCAGACGTGGTGGCATGCAGGCTGAGGCAGAAGGATTGCTTGAACCTGGGAGGCAGAGGTTGCAGTAAGCCGAGATTGCACCATTGCACTCCAGCCTGGGCAACAGAGCAAGACTCCATCTCAACAACAATAACAAAAAAAGCACTTGGTCTGTAGTGAGCGCACTATACCTGGTGGCCACCATGAATACTGTTGTTGTTTTTGGTGGCTTGATGTGCCTGCACCCCAATTTTCCACACCCACAAGTCTCCTGCTAGAGGACTAGGTCAGAACCAAAAGGCCCTGCAGAAAATGGAAATCTCTTCCCGATCCCCCTCTAGTCTCCCTTTGGGGGTCCAGTGTGTCCTTGGAGCTGCCCAGGGCAGGGTAGAGGCTGCATCTGTGACCCTGATGGGTTGCCCCAAGCCTGCTGACACTGGCCGTGCCAATCACAAGAAATTCTAAAAATCCACCTCCTTATCTCAGAGCGGGTGACACTCCCGAGCTTCAGGAATGCTGGTGGGGAGCCCCGCCCCGTCCCCCTCCCCCACCTCCTCCGCTGGGGAAAGGCTGGAAGAGGACTGCTGAATTCTCCAGGCCCCAGCCCCCAAGTATCCCCCTCTAACTCTGGGACCCTCTCAGATCAACACATTCCAGGAGGATCAGGACCTGCAGACTCCAAGTCAGACACCCTCAAGCCCAGAGACGCCTACCTGGGCTCTAAACATCCCCCCCCTACACCAGAATCCAAAGAGAATCTCACTACAGAGCCCTAGCATGTCCCTAAGGACTCCACGGGCACACCAATGTTATTTCTGAATAATTTCAGGATCCTTTGAGAAGACGGTCCATTTGCTATGGCAGAAAGAATACAAGATCTTGAATCCAGCATGTTGGGTCTTAGCTATGACCCTAAACAAATCCCTTCCTCATTCTGTGCCTCGGTTTCTCCGTCTGTGAAACAGAATTGTTACCCTCTCTTACCTTGCCCTCCCTGTAGAATGGTTGAAAGAACCGAACCAGCTTCCCAATGTAAGGGACACTTTAGAATTTCTACAAGCACCTTCTTTTTCCTTCACGCAAATCACTGCTCCTCGGACTCAGTTTCTTCCCCTGCTAAACGGAAGGAAGATGTACGTGCCTGCCTCACTCCACTTCACAGTGCTGGGAGAGGAGGGAGCAGAATAGACAAGACTCTGCTCATCTGGCACTTTCTCCCTTTAAACTTAGAGGCCAGGGACTGACCAGACCTTATTCCCAAGGCAGCAAGAAGCAGGCTCCCAGCAAGCATGTGCTGAATGAATACCTGACTGTGGATGGATGGACAATGTTGCTTTAAGAAATTAAAAGGCCAGGTGGGTGGCTCACACCTGTAATCTCAGCACTTTGGGAGGCCAAGGCAGGCAGATCACCTGAGGTCAGGAGTTTGAGACCAGCCTGGCCAACGTGGTGAAACCCTGTCTCTACTAAAAATACAAAAATTAGCCCAGCATGGTGGTGTGTACCTATAATCCCAGCTACTTGGGAGGCTGAGGAGAGTCACTTGAACCCAGAAGACAGAGGTTGTGGTAAGCCGAGATCACGCCAGTGCACTCCAGCCTGGGTGACAGAGCTCAAAAAAAAAAAAAAAAAAAAGTGCCATCCACTAACAGAGCATCGCATCCTCTTTTTGTCCCAAAGGACACTGTCTCCAGCTTCCCCATCCTAGCCAGCTTAAAGAAAGGGTCTAAACCTCACTGAGGAGGCTGGGTGTGGGGGTGGTCACGCCAAGAGGGGGCATGGAAGGAAACTTCCAAACTTGAACACTTCTTGTGGTGAGAGAGGAAGTGGCGCTGCAGGAGGGACAAGGGGCTAAGGGGCTGGCAGGAGGGACAAGAGGCCGGGGATGCCCCCCCGCACCCCGCCCGGCCTGGCCTGCGTCATGCCTGGTCTGTCTGGGGAAGGCCAGGACCTAGCCGAGCCTGGCGGCAGGAACAATGTCAGGCAGGTGCCGGCCGAGCTGCGGGAAAGGCCCAGCCCGGTGTCATTGTCAGAGCTCAGCCAAGTGCAGAAAAGCAATTTACTGGTCACGCCGCTTGCTCCCCACGGAAATTTTTAAAATTCTTCCAATTTGAGCTATCTACGGTGTCCCGAGTCGTGTGGAGAAGGGATGAAGGGATTTTATTAAATTCCCAGCTTCCTACTTCCTAGGGTGGCCAGCGGGTGAGGGCGGGGCTCACCACTTCGGGGGTGGGCAGGACGGTGTCTGGCATTGAATGTGCTCATGGAAACGTAGCTGGGGGCAGGGACCCATTCTGAGCCTGGTAGCGATGGACAGGAGGAAAGGAGGGGCCCAGAAACTCCACTGCTGAGACTGGACCAGTCTTGGAAAACACTGAGGTGGGGGAGGGAAGGGTGTAGGCACATCCATTTCCCAGCAGCCACAGTGTGCCTTCCTGGGAGGATGAGAACTGGCAAAACTTCCCCACCCCTATCATATACCAGTTTAACTCCATGACCAACCATTTCACAAATGATGCGGCGAAGATTCTGGGGATCCACAGAGAGGGAAAGATGGCGCTGGAGCTGGGGTTCAGGCCTAGGCCACTGGATCGCAAAGCCCTGAGCCCTTCCCTCCACGCAGAGAGGCTTCCCTGGGCCCTGCTCACCCTAAAGGAGCTTCAGCTGCTACCCGCTAAGTGTAGCCTACCCAAACCTCAGCAGGGAACAGGCCTCAGATTCCTGGCAGTTAACATCATGTGGCTCCCACCCCTCGTTTCAACCATTGAGGCCACCCGACTTTTGTTCCTATAGTGTAAATGGGGACAGAAGCCTGACGACCTTGCCCATAACTCCCAGGATAACATTTCTTTCTCTTTAGGGGTCACAGATGTTTTGAAACTCTGTGGGGAGCAGACAACCCTCTTCCAGACACAGCACATTTAAGCACCATTTTTGTGCAATGTTTCAGGGGCCTCCCCCTCCCACAATCCCATCCTTTGACACTCCAAGGGTACACGGACCATGGGTTAAAAACATCAGTCCTATGGCACTTTGGATGCAGAAAGGCCGGTGGGGACAAAGGGGCGATGGAAGGGGGAAGGTGGAGGTGGTGGGGAGAGGAGGTTCCCTCACCTGCTCTAAGGCTGCCGTTTGACCTAACCAGGGCAGACCACCCAGCTCTTTCCCAAGATGCTGGCTCTAGCTCTGGCCAGGAGGTGGAGGTGGGATGCAGAGTCCACGCTCCCTCCCTCCAGCTCCCCCAGAGAACACAGAGACCACACAGCAGCCCCTCCTGGGCCCCACTTCAAGAAGAACCAAGAGCAGCAGGCATCCAGAGGCTTGAGCCACACGTCTGCAGGCCTCCCTGCTACTCCATGCCCATTTCATCACTCCTGCCCCCAGGCTCAGAACTCTGGAAAAGAGCTCTTGCCCAGGTCAGACAAGCAGACCCCCTGGAGTGACCCCGGGGCCTGCCCTCTGCTTGGGGACTCAGCTGCAGACCAGGCAGGCCATGCCTGGCACTGGCCTCCCTCTTTGACACCAGCCGTTCCCCACCCCCGCCCCCATCACCACACAGGGTCACATCTGCTTTGGCAAACAGCCAGTCTTAAGTTACTGACTCCAGTTATATTGATTCAAGGAGTCACTGGGGACTCCAGCCTGGCCAACAGGAGGAAAGAACCCATCAGTCCGTCCACCCTTCCGTCCCCAAGCCCTACTGGATGCCCCCAGCTCAGTGCCTATCAGGAGGGTAACAACCCTCTTCTGGGTGTGGAGGGAAGATAACAGGCCCACCACCGCCAAACACGGCGAGAGGCTGCTGAGTCCCAGCAGTGCTCAAGGCACACAACACTCCTTGAGCCAGAAAACCGGGAGAACCACCAATTTCCTGTGCTTAAGACTTGCTCTGGGGATCTCCTGAATCCAGAAGGCTAAGGTCTAAGATTCTTCTCTAATCCCGGAAAGCCACCTGCCTTCCACCGAGGGGGAAGGGTCAGACAACCTTCTTTTGGCCTGTGTCCAGTTCCTCCTGGCCTGGCCCCTTGCAGCGCTAGGTGGGTGGGGGCTTGGGGAGCTGACGCTTCCTATTCCCTTTGCCCGCCGCCCCCCACCCCCAACATGCAGAGGCAGCCCTGGTCTGGTTCTAATCGGGGCTGAAGTCGGCTCCCTTTTTCGCTCTTCTCTCTCCCTCCCCCCAACCCTTTTTCCTTCATTTCTACGGCTTTGGAAGCCAGAGCGTTCCAACTGTCTGTGTGCCAAGACCTTCCCGAGTCTGAAAGCTGCTGAAGTAACAGATCAGATTTTAGCAAGTGCTTTCCAGGCTGAGCGCCAAGCCCTCTTCTGATTCACGGAGAGCGAGCGAACGGGGAGCAGGCGGGGAACCAACGAGGGCTGCACCACCTTAGGCGAGGGAGTGCGGAGCGTGGCCCGTCCGGGAGCGGCCTCGCGGGCAACGGCCACTCGGCCTAGGCGCCCTCGAGGTTCCCCTTGTCCCGGGCGTGTGTGTGTCTGTATGTGTGTCTCAGTGCTGCAAGAGCCTTCAAAACCACAGAGTAATTTACAACTGAAGCTTTCTCCCTGGACTCGAAATCCACTCGGCTGAAAGCCTTTTTGTTTGGAAGCGGTGATGTTAAGGGAAGGTTGGCAGAGAAAATCCCTAGGTCCTACCCCTCGCTGACTGCGGGCAGGGGTCTTAGAGCCGGGTATATTGCTGCGGCTGAACCCGCCGGGTCTGCGGGATCTCCTTCCAGCCGAGGCCGACAGGGGCCGCGACAGCCAGCGCCGCCTCGGGCCCCGCGGCAGAGCCCCTTGCCCTTGGCCGGTCCCCCGCCGGCGCAGGGCGCGCGCGGAGCCGCCCTTCCGCGCCCTGGGAACAGGTGCACTGGGCTCGGCGCCCAGGAGGGGTGGGGCACAGGGAGGGGGCGCGGCCGGGGAAGGGGGGTCGGCGTGTACCGCGAGGCAGGGGCGGGAGGAGGTCAGAGTCAGGAGCCCACGTACCTGTACCTGGAAGCACAGCAGCAGGAAGTGTAAACACCTGCGGGAAACAGATGGAGAAGCGGTCAGTGGGACCTGAGGAGGGGGGCGCACGGACAGACAGACACTCAGTCGAACAGTCAAGCGAACGGACGGGCGGGTAGACAGAGGCACAGGGCACAGGCACACGGACAGACGGCCAGGCAGGGTGGGCAGCCCCGCGCGCGGGCGCTTACAGGCAAGTGCAGGCGGAGGGCGCTGAATACATCGCTGGGCGGGAGGGAGGCGGCGGCTCCTAGCCCAGCCTGCACATGTCCGCTCCGCGCGGCCGGGACCGGGCGCCTCCGCCGCCGCCGCCGCCGCCGCCGCCGCTGCTGCTGCTCCCTCCTCGCCGGCTGCTGCTGCTGCAGACTCTGCTGCTCCGGGGCGCTCCGCGGCGCGCCCTGCGGCATCAGCGCCCCGCGCGGCTCCTCCCGAGCGCTGCGCCCTCCGGGCTGGCGCAGGGGCTGCGGGGCGGCAGCCGCTATGCAGGAGGCGCCTGGCTGGTGCGGGGAAGCTTGCTTACTGCTGGCCGGCCGGCCGTCCGGGCGTCCGTGGGAGGTTGGCTTCCCGGCTCAGTTCGGGGACAGCATGCGCGGCGGGGCTGGAAGCCGGGTTGCACTCTCCGGCCCGGGCGCGGAGCTGCGTGAGGCCAGGGGTCAGCGCTCCGGGGTCGGGGCGCGCGGCTGCAGCACGAAAGCGTCACGGCCGCTCCGTCTGGGCGCCCGCCGGCTCATGTCTCCTCCTCCGCGTCTCTCCGGCCGTGCGCATCGCCGCCTCCCACCACTGGCGGCGGCCGGGGCGTTTTCTACGCGCGGGCGGCGAGGGGGCGGGGGGCCGGGGGCGGGCCCGGGCCAGAGCCGGCACAATGAGGATGCGGGGCCTGGGGGCTCCCCCCTCGGGGCGCGGCCGGACGGGCGCTCAGCTCGCCTGGGTGCGCCCAGCCCACATCAAAGGCGGCCCTGCCTGCTCGCCTGCCTGCCGCGGCCTCTCGCTGCCTCCTCCTCCTTCTCCCGGCGGCTCGGGGTTGGAGGGGAGGCGCTCAGACTCTCGGCGACGGAACCGGCAGCTCCGAAGGGGCAGGACCCACGAAACTGAAGCTGGTGAGCGCTGGAAGCCGTCGGAGCTCTGCGCCCGAACGCAGTGACCCGCTCCTCCGCGCAAACGTTGCCCAAACTGGGCAGGCGATGCTTCCCAAGAAAGCAGTTAGGTACGGAGCGTCCTCACCTGCCCACATTCGCTAGTCGCACTCACCAGCGCTCGAGTGGGGAGCCGAGAGGGGGCGGGTCAGACCCAGCCCCGGGGCGGCTCCACTGAATGGGGGTCGCTTTTACCCGCTCTGTGATCGTGGAGTTTCCCAGCCACCCTCTTGACTGGCTACGCACTTAAGTGAGCCCCCTTTCTCTTCTTACGTCCCTGCCGCTGCGAAGGGGGCTCCGGGGCGTCTCTCCTTCCCACCCCTTGCCGCCTCCAGGGTTCTGGGGTCGGTTCACGGGATCCCAGCTGGGCTCTCCCGTAGGCGAGCCAGCTTTGGAAACACACGGCTACCACCAAGCGGCCCCGAGACGTCACTGCAACCCCAGCACGGACGGCTGCACGCCGGGGAGCAGCCAGCAGGACTCTGGTCAGCGACCACGCTGAGGCCCTCTTCCGGCCTCCTCCCAAAACCAGGCTGAGACTTGCCTCCGTTTGCATACTATGTAGCTTCGTTCCTTTAACCAGGGTCCCATTCAGGACACTGGTTCTTACCGCCTCCACCCCTTCCAGAGGCATAAGTCCTGTCCTTCCCACCAACTCCAAAACGTAGATGTTCTTGTCACGCACCTGCCTCACTGTCTAGAGCCGGTGTCAGCCAAGCTCTGCTTAGGCCCAATGCTAAGGAAAATAGGTCAGTGAGAAAGACATTGGAGTACAGCCTCAACCAAAACTCAGGAATCTGGACTGTTTGGTTAAAGCCTCCTTGCGTTGGCAATGGTTGATGGTCCACTAGAGCATAAACTGAGGTAGGACTGTGGAACGGTGCTATTTCCTGAAGCGATGAATATAAAACATTAGTAATTGTTCCAAATATCAGACCTCCTTGCAAGCTATTTTAAGTTCCCTTTCAAAGCTGAGGCTATTTTAAACAGATAGCCTCTGTTTCAACACTGGACGCAAGTGCAGAAAACCTTTTCAAAACCAGGTGCTGAGTGATGGCGAAAATTCCTGCATGAAGCTTTTGAGCTGAATTTACTTAGGCATTCTGATTGCCAGAGCTGGACTTGCCAAGTTACTCGTAACTTTCCAAGTTCTGGAGAAAATGAACCAATCCCAAGATAGGATGCAATGACGAACCATAAATAGAAATGGACAGAAATTCTCCCACCGATGACCTCAGTCATTGCCACCATCTTTGATCTTGCTTTATAGGAAGATTGACAAACCCAGTCAAGAGGGGTTTTTGGCTTACCATCTGCTAGTTTGAAGTATCTCCTGGCTAAGAATCATGCTTCAAATTTTCTGTACTGTTACTATTTTTTATTACTTGTGAATGGAATGGGTATATAATTATTTATACCCTATCTAAAATGCTTGCAGTATTTTTCAATGCTCGGATAAAGTATATTTGCCAATCTCACCTATCAAACAAATCAGACTGACCAAAAAGTCCAGCCAAGAGAACACTTCTGAGTAAGAGCATAAACTCAGGAGTCAGAGGTAGTGCATTTGAATACTGTCACCAACATTTACTTACAAATTCCAGCAAGCAACGGTCTGAGACTCTGCTTCCTCCTCTACAAAATATGGCTAAGAACAGGAACGACTCTCACAGAGTTGTGAGTACTCAATGAGTGTCTGGCACACAATGAAAACTCCAAACATTTTAGCTAACTAATAATCCTAATTATGGTTTTCAGGTTATTTTCACATTTCTTTCTGAACAATTTTATGAAGTAGGGAGGCAAGATCACTTCCAATTTACAGTTGAAGAGGCATCTAGTCAGAATGTCTTTTGACTCCAAATCAATTTTATACTACACATTCTTTTCGCCACCACTCACACCCTCATGTCTGGTTTCATGTACCTATTTACCAATATGACCTATTTACCATATGCCTGAATCTTAAATGGGTTCTATCTGGATTTAGCATGTTCATACAACACTTAATGTATACCACTATTTTAGTAGTCACTTCTTACTAGTTCAATCACAATTTATTGAGATCCTACAGTGTCGGGCCCTCACTGAAAGACAGGCAAGATCCCTGCACTAAAAAAGTACTTCGTCTCCACTAGGGAAGATGAGCCATAAGCAAATACACCAAGAGATAAATGCTGGCTTGTTACCAGTGCTTTGAGAGAACCCAGTGGGATGAGATGAACAGTACAGGAGATAGAGCAAGCTAGAAGACCTCTTGGTAACATTTAGGCCAAGACCCAAAGACAGGAGATAGCCATGCAAAGGAATATTCCAGGTAAAAAATGCAAAGTGCCTCCAGTGGAAAAAGGCTAGGTGACTGGCAGGGTTAGCCAGGGAGAGTGTGGCAAGAGATAAGGGTGAAAGCAGGCAATGTTCTTGACCAGGCCTTTGCAGGAAATGAAGTAGCCATCAATGGCTTAAGGGTACCAGTTTTGCAATGCATCGGTTTTAAGTGTACGGTTCAGTTCTGACAAATGTTATCTAGGTACAAACACCACCTCTTCTCAGGCAATCTTCCAGCCCCCAATTACTGGTCCCAAACAATCATTTATCTGGCACTGGTTTATTTTCAATTTCATATAAACAGAACCACCTAGTATGTGCTTGTGTCTGGCTGAGCATGTTTGAGATTGGTCCATTGTTGCATTTTGCAGTAGTCAATTCTTTTTCATCATGGGATAGTATTTCATAGTATAGATATGCCACAATTTGTCAATTAAGGGCTTTCAAACTGAGTCAAAAATCAGTTTGTTAAAAAAGCTTTACCCTGGCTAAGAATGAAGTGGAATGCTGTTACACCATCCCACTTCATTCTTAGTAGCTGGAGTAAGCAGGACACTAAGAAAGCTAGCTGTTACCAGTCCAGGTAAGGGTACTGTAGCTTGGGCTACGCAGCCATGTGCTATTTTGGGGTCGGAATCAGACACACCTGCATTAAATTCACAGCTCTAAGTTAATAAACTCAGGCAATTTTCTGAGGGGAGTTAAGAATGTATGTTGACTGGTAACACAATGAAATGAAAGCCCTGCAGAGCATCTCGATGCCTTGCCTACTGACTAACCCTAAGCACCTAGAACTTTTGTCTAAGACAAAGTATGTATTTAAATCCCTTTGTTCAAGTGTGCAAGTAAACTGAGCACTGCAATCTTTCCATTTGTTTTCCACTTCTTCCCAGTCTTGACGGAGAAGACGCCTAAGATTCAGGGAATCTGTGGAGTACAAATATTGTGGAGACAGAGATGGAAAACATCTAGCCTAAGAACACAGGACAGGCCGGGCACGGTGGCTCACGTCTGTAATCCCAGCACTTTGGGAGGCTGAGGTAGGCGGATCATGAGGTCAGGAGTTTGAGAGGAGCCTAACCAACACAATGAAACCGTGTCTCTACTAAAAATACAAAAATTAGTCGGGCATGGTGGCACACGCCTATAATCCCAGCTACTCAGGAGGCTGAGGCAGGAGAATCGCCTGAACCCGGGAGGCGGGGGTTGCACTGAGCTGAGATCTGGCCACTGCACTCCAGCCTGGGGGACAGAGCGAGACTCCGTCTCAAAAAAAAAAAAAAAAAAAAGGACAAGCAGCCTCAAGCAGCACTGTCTTCAGTAGTATCAGATAATCAGCAAAGTAGACCCTTAGCACAAATAGGCTGTAAAGTTTTCTCAAAGCCAGCTCCTAGAACGCACACAGCATTAAATCTTGGGACCTCTACTGCCAAATCCACGAGTCAGGGAGCAACTGGCTTTTCATTAAGGAACTGGCTAGAAAGTAGCCTCACTTTCTTAAACTTTAACTCTGTATTTCCAGAGTCCAGGACACCTTTATAATAGGCTCAGTACAAACTTGTAACCCTCAACTTTTTTTTCTTGGACAATTTCCAAGAAAAGACTCACACCCTATACAATGCTCATCTCTCCTTGCTCATTAAGCTAGTACTATCAAGAGCTACATAGCGGGTCGTAATCCCAGACCTTGGGAAGCTGAGGCGAATGGATCACTTGACGTCAGGAGTTTGAGATCATCCTGGCCAATATGGTGAAACCATCTCTATACAAAATACAAAAATTAGCCGAGTGTGGTGGCGTGCACCTGTAGTCCCAGCTACTCAGGAGGCTGAGGTGAGAGAATCACTGGAACCCGGGAGGCGGAGGCTGCAGTGAGCCAAGATCACACCACTGCACTCCAGCCTGGGCAAGAGACTGAGACCCTGTCAAAAAAAAAAAAAAGAAAAAAAAAAAGATTTTATCTGTTAAGAAAAAAAGAAAAAAAGCTGGTTGGGCGCCGTGGCTCACACCTGTAATCCCAGAATTTTGGGAGGCCAAGGCAGGCAGATTACCTGAGGTCAGGAGTTCGAGACCAGCCTGGCCAACATGGTGAGATGCTGTCTCTATTAAAAATATAAAAATTAGGCCGGGCGCGGTGGCTCAAGCCTGTAATCCCAGCACTTTGGGAGGCCGAGACGGGTGGATCACGAGGTCGGGAGATCAAGACCATCCTGGTTAACACGGTGAAACCCCGTCTCTACTAAAAAATACAAAAAACTAGCCGGGTGAGGTGGCGGGCGCCTGTAGTCCCAGCTACTCGGGAGGCTGAGGCAGGAGAA